TACTCATTACACGCTCCTCACAAACTCTGGTTCACAAGCTAATCAAGTCACTTCATGCCACATTTGTAGTGGAAAAGTAAGGCAAGCCTGAATATTTATTGAGAATAAAAATTAAAACTATGAACATATTAAAAATACACCAAGGACATGTTAACTCGAGAAAAAAGATAAGAATTGCTAATTGTGTTTCCACTTTAATGATAAGTAATTCCAAACTGAGATAACACGGCTCAAACTCTTTCTTCAGTCTTCAGTTGTATAAGTCCATGGCTGATGCTCTTTTATATGCCACCTTAACTTGACCAGACATTGCATTCAATATGAATAATGAATGTCAATTTATGTCTTCTCCTTTAGAATCAGATTGGTTTATGGTCAAAAGAATCATGAGATACCTTAGTGGAACCTTGACACATGTCATGCTTCTCTCTCCTTCTTCCTTGATACAAGTTTTAATTGAGAGCCTATAATAACCCTGTTTGGTCAAGTTATCCAGATGACCACCTGTCAACTTTTGGATCTTGTATTTACTTTGGGCCTAACCTCATTTCATAGAGTTTCAAAAAGCATCCCCTTGTGGCTAGGTCTAGAAGAGAGGATGAATATTGAGCCTTGCCACACACCACTTCAGAATTCTATATGGTTTGAGTCTTTACTTACTAAGTTTGTCATTCCTTTCTTACTTCTTACACTATTATGTGATAACTTGAGTGTTGTATTAAACACATTGAGCTTGATATACACATTATGAGGGAAATTGTTATAGCTTAGAAGATGTTGACCCAACATGTTACAAACACTGCTCAAATTGCTGATATTCTTATGAAACCTCTTAGAACTGCAACATTTACTGATCTTCATACCAATCTCAAAGTAGCTACTTTAATCTCTCTTTGACCTTGTGGGAGAGTATTATAAGAGTAAAATACTAGTGGTGTATGTATGTATGTATGTATGTATGCGTTTTACCTTATGTTAGAATCATGTACATGAGCTTCAATCTTAGCAGCATAATTGATATAATGATAGAAGTAATAACTGGTCTACACTAGTATAAATATTGTACTAGAGCAATTGTAAACATTTGATTAATCCATGCTAAATGCAAGGAAGTTGCGCTTCCATTGAATCCCTTAGAGCTAAACTAAAAAATGTTGTAGTTACAACAACCATACAAAGGGAATTTGACATGAGGAACACTAATAACACTCTCTTTTCAACATTCTCTTTAACACCCACTCTTTTATATGGTGAAACACATGTGGATCCTACCATTTTATTTAGGATCCATTTCTAAAGTGAGGGATCCACAAATGTTTCATCCGATAAGAGAGTGAGTGTAAAAAAATAGTGTTGAAAAGAGAGTGTTTCTAGCACTCCTCAACTTGACATTACATCAAAAACTTTTTTTTATCAACATACACTTAAAGTGTCCTTGACCTGATAACATCAACAAAACATATTACATGTAGAAAAAAAAGAAAGCTTTCTATATAAGAAGTCAATAACAGTTAGTTAACAATTGACTATGATATATTACAATTTAGTCACGAGGGGAACACATAGGATAATCACATTAGATCTAAAGTAACCATACAAATATAATTTGACACCGCATATTTATTCAAAATCTTAAAACATTGTATATGAATGTTACAACCTCTAATTATTATTTCAACGATACTTAATCACATTAAATAAATCAACACGTGGGTTTGAGGGATGGGAGTTTCTCCACTGATGGGTTTGAGGGATAGTGGTTTTACTGTGGGACAGTCAGCTCTCAAAACTGCTTCTAGTAAAGTGGTCAAATATGAGAAAGCGTGTTCTGAAAATCAATAAATTTTTATACCATTTGCCTTTGATACTGTTGATTTACTAGCACCAGAAACAGTTGATCTTTTACATAGAGTTCAAAGATTTATGAATAACAATGTTATATCTCCTAAATCTATGAATGTAATTTTTAAGAGGATTAATTTTACGATCTAAAAAGTAGTAGCATCATTTATTGTCCGCCTGTCTTCTATTTAGGTGTTGACCTAATTTTTTAAAATAAAATTTATATAAAATAAATTTGGTTTAAAAAAAAAAAGAAGATATACAATATAGAGGGGTAAGAAAATTGTTTAAATCCAAATCTAATTTATAAATCAACATTATGGTTACTTTTCCACTATATCTAGAATCAAATTCAATACCTAAAATTCTACTATATAAATATACTATTTTTTAATTACATATACTTTAAAAAAAAAGTAAATGTGACAAAAAAAATAATAGTATATTTACATATACTATTTTTCTTCATTTAGTAACATCTAGAATCATAGTATCATAACTTATTACGCTAATTTAATCAACTGTTAATGGCATGAGTAATTGTTGAACCACCCCCAATAAATGAGATTGTTAAAGCCGTTTCCTAGTTGCTTAACTTATGGTGCTTCATAAAATTCTTCCACTTCTTTTTCTTTAGATGCACACATTCCCACAATTTTAATTTTCTGCACCTAGCATATTAACTTTTTAATGTTATGTTTGGTGTAATTTTTTGGCTATAACATTTGTTTTTTAGGAAATAAACCTTCCCACAATTCCTTATGAACATGATACAAATGCTCAAAATGGGTTGGTTGTTGATTTTGAATAGTTGAAATCTGGTATTAGTTGGACCCAAACAATGACCCACAACCATGTGCACCATGTGTTTAAATATTTCTCAACCTTTGTTATGTCAATATATTATATGAATATTCAAATATAAATTGGAGAAAAAAATTAATATGTTAAATTATTCGTTAGGGGTGTTTATTAGTTCTGACAAATCTGAATTAAATCAGAATTCAAATTAAATTAAGGTGTTTGAATCGAATATTTTTTTAGTTCGGACAAAAATTAAACCAAATCAATAAAATCCGATATTAATTGATTTGGACAACGGATTTCATAAATTTTATGAGCGAGTCCGTTTATTCGAACCAATCATATTAATTCATATAATTTATATAATCATTCTTATGGAAATTAGTATAACATATTCAACTTCAAGAAATTATATATGAAATACCATTTTTGATATTTAGAAAGAGAAACTAAAAAATTAAGAATTTTAAATTATTATAGAAAATTAGTTGATGTAAATTATATATTAATTAAAAATATATTTACACATTTGTTTTTAATATATCCGATCAATTTAACTCAAACTAATCCATTATTATTTAGTTTGGAACGGTTTGGATTTTATGAAGAAAAAAAAAATTCAATCCAAAAAAATTCATATATTTTTGATCAATTTTAATATTAAATTCTCTCAAAATCGAATCAAATCGATTCACACACACTCTTATATCCGGTGTTAGCCAAATTATAGAGATTTGAGACTTAAAAGTGCACTTCATTGAAATCTTGTTAATCTTTTAAATTAGTTTATATGTTTTGATTTCAATTAAACCTTTTGTTAATAGACGGGGAGATTGATAATCAGAATTAAATTTTAATGCATATCATGAAAAGTCAATCTTACATTTAGATATTTGATTTTTTTATGTAGACAAAATGATAACAACTATTAAAAATTAATACGTATAATTATGAATATTAGAGTTTTGAGCTAAAATTTACAAATATAAATTATTTAATTTTAATGAACGATGTCAAATGCGTGATTAGAATATTGATTTTTATAAGAAAATAAAAATGGAACAGTCCTATGTTTCTGCATGATGCGTCATTTGTCTTTTTCTTTGTGACCAAAAACCACGTGGGTATTCTCAACGGTGCTGAATTACACAAAAATTGATTCTTCCTAAGATCTTGTTTGGTTATAGAATTTGTCCATTAATTTTGAGACAATAGTCCTGCTTCAATTGGTTGTGTGACAAGTAATTTCAACCGGAGAAAATTAAGTTATAATATTTTTGTGAGTATTAGCAATTATTGAATTGGAAAAATCTGTATAACAGAAGGACATAAAATTAAGTAAGACATATGGGTCAAGTTGAAGAAGACATACTAACTAGTTAATGATATAAAAATTTGATTTTCAAGAGAATTGATACTATATGCTAAGTTGAGTATTAATTATTTGTAAGTTTCTATATGTCATCAAGAGAAAACCTAAACCCCTTTGATCTTGATATAGCCACATAATTATGACTATGATTATATCATATGAAGCATTTGCCTAGAAATCATCTTTGAAAACCTAAATTTGAAGGACCTACCACTTGCATAACACAAGAATGGAAGTAGTTGTTATTGTTGTATACTATTCATACACATGTAAATATAGAAAACAATGGAAAGTCATATAAACACTAAAAAAAGACCAGAGGTAAGTAATTGTGATATAGAATTAAAAATTATCATGTTATTCAATTCCCACATGGAAAACAAAATACTACCAAGCATGTAATTATGTGCCTTGTCCAACCCATACCTCTTTTTATTAATTAATATTCTTTTCCTTTTTTTTTCTTCTTTTGTACTTTTTTTCTTTTCTTTTTCTTTTCTCTTTACATAAATTTTATTTAACTAAATAATTGAACTTAATTAGTTATTAAACTATAATTAAAAATAAATTATTAAAGAAAATTCAAGTTCAAATTCTAAATTATCATACTTCTTATTTCTTTTAATTAAATATTCAAGTACTAATTATTAAGTTTTAATTAATAATATATTTTTCAGAAGAATCTAAATTCAAACTCTTTTAATTATACATATGAAATAGTCGTAATAAAACTAATTTTTTTAATTGAACTAAGATCGACAGACGGATCAAAATTACTTTTAATTAAATTTTATTCACTTTTTGATTAATCAAAATATATATATATATATATATATATATATATATATATATATATATATATATATATATATATATATATATATTTTGTGAGAAACCATGAGCCTAAGTCTATTTATTTTTAAGCTCTTCACTCATTGTGTACTCCTAAGTCCTAATCAAAAACACACACACACTCTCTACCATGGAAAAACATCTCAATATAGAAAGTGACGATGCTGAAGACAACTTTGCGACATCTTCAACACTAACAACAACATCATCATCAACTTCAAATAAGAGGAAGAGAATTGAAAGTGATGATAATAACAATATCAAACATCCAAGTTATAGAGGAGTAAGGAAGAGGAATTGGGGAAAATTTGTGTGTGAGATTCGTGAGCCAAAGAAAAAATCAAGAATATGGCTTGGAACATACCCTACAGCTGAAATGGCAGCTAGAGCACATGATGTAGCTGCTTTGGCTATAAAGGGTCATTCAGCATATCTTAATTTCCCTCAATTAGCAAAAGCACTTCCAAGGCCGATTAGCACTTCTCCAAAAGATATTCAAGAAGCAGCTGCAAAAGCAGCTAATAACACTTCATTTGATGAAGCTCAAGTTGAAGCAAGACAAGAAGAAGAACATGCCTCACCTTCTTCAATTCTTGAATCATCATCAAGTTCGACATTTAACAATGATGATGATGATGCTTCATTGTTTGATTTGCCAGATCTTTTTCCTCATGATGATGGAAAGAATGGACTTTGTTCTTATTCTTTGAAAAATTCTATTTCGTATCTATGTGCTATTGAATGCAATGTAGAATTTCTTGAAGATCTGTCATTTTGGGAAAAATATTTGTAATTGTTTTTTTATGGAAAAATAAAATGTAAAATTTTAGAATTTATGTTGTGTTTTTAGTCATATTTTGAAAATCAGAGTACATTTTTGTGAACATCTTTTTGCGAGAGACACAAAATATATTTATTTAAAATCTTAAAATAATAAGTGTCTCACTTATAAAATATTAAATTTTACTTTTCCTAATTAATGTAAGGTTTTTGTGTCACACTTAATTGTTAACATTTGTCTCATTTAGATATGTTGATTGATATAGTTAAAGTTGGTAACAAACAAATTCTCAAGGATAACATTTTTGTTTTCTTTTTTGTGGTGAATAAAGATGTAAGGTGAGAAAAGAGTTTCTAATATTTGGTGAAGTAATAATTAAGTTTAAAATAAGGTTGTTTTCTGGATTATAGAGAATTGCAGCACATAGATTTAGAAGGTAAATAGTCATTTTCTCTTTGATTTTGTTTCCAAATATGCAATGTCATTGTCTTTGTGAAGGAGTTGACTTTAGAACCATTGTTAAAAGTGGATTATATAGAATGGTTATTGGTCTATTTTCTACTTTTGGTAAAAATTGTCCTCTTATACCTAGTTGAGGTGTGAGAAGTGAAGAAAACGTATAAAATAAGACGATAAAGTATGAATGTGGTAGGTAATGAGATATAGGAAATGAGGAAAAGTACAAATAGGCCAACCATTTTTCTTCTTCTCGTGGCATATCCAACCAATTGATAATTACAAGGATGTGGTTCGTTAATGATTCGGAGTAGACCCAAAGATGTGAGACCGAGTTGATTGGATGCAGCCGAGGACAACGTTGCTACTTTGCAAGGCATGAGGCCCTTATAAGAACTTTAATACTCAAGTTAGTTAGAGTTTTAGAAATGCTTATAAATTTAACATATGATGAGAATGTATCATTCACAAAAGGTTAATGTCCTTTTATAGCTGATGTGTAAGGAACACATATTCCATGACAAGTATTATTACGTCGAGAGGATCTCGACATGGTTTATAATTTATCGTCTCATTTGTTAGTGCGCGAGACACTTTTAATGAGGAGAGAAAAAGAGAATAAAAGAAAAATAAAGATTGTATTATTGACTTGAATTGTTACAAACTGATTTACAAACCAGTCTATTTATATACAATTAACTTGTACACTAAGTTGACAACTTGTGCTTCACTTGAGCAATGTCTAACTTCAAGTTCACCTCGATTTACCTTTTTCCTCAAGAAGTGAAATCTAGCTTCGATATGCTTATTTTTTCCATGCAGAACTGGATTTTTCGCCAGATTTATGGCTGATTTGTTGTCGATTTGCAACACAAGAGGTTTCTTCACTTCGACCTCCATTTCTTTAAGTACCAATCTGATCCAAATTGCTTGGCATGCAACATAGGATCCTGCTATATATTCAACTTCACACGATAATAATGTCACCACAAGTTGCTTTTTCGAACACCATGAGATTGGGGCACCAAATACTTGAAAGAAATATCTAGTTGTGCTTCTTCGATCTCCTTTATCACCAAACCAACCAGCATCTGAAAAACAATTAATTGTTTCTTCTTTGTGTTCAGAGGATCGTCGAAATAGAATTTTGTTGTTTATGGATCCTTTTGAATATCTCAGAATTCTTCTTGCAACCTTCATGTGCGACACTCTTGGTTCACTCACGTATCTGCTCACTAATCCGACTGTGAAACCTATATCAGGTCGACTGTTTCACACATACCTCAGAGATCCAACTATTTGTTTAAAAAAAGTTACACCGACTTTGTTTTCCTTTCCATGCTTCTCCAACTTCAAATTTGGTTCGACAGACGAAGATGCTAGAGTCTAATCATCCATCTAGAATCTCTTGAGTATCTCTTTGACATACTTCCTTTGATGTAGCACCATACCTTGCTTCGACATTTGAAATTCCATGTCTAGGAAATAAGACAATTTTCCTAGATTCGACATTTCAAATTCTATCATCATCAAATCTTTGAACTTCGAAAAGTTCTCCAAGTTATTTCCAGTTACTAACAATTCATCGATATATAAGCAGATGATTGTTATATCTTGTGCCATAACCTGAACAAAGACACCATACTCAGACTTGCATTTTACAAATCCCAATTAGACTAAGTATGAGTCAATCTTCTTGTTCCATGCTCTAGGTGCTTGCTTAAGACCATAAAGCACTTTGTGCAACTTATACACTTTACTTGCTTCCTTCTGAATCACAAATTCCGGAGGTTGTATGACATAGACCTCTTCGTCTAATAGACCATTCAGAAATGCTGATTTCACATCTAAATGATATGTCGACTAGCCTTGGTTGCATGCCAATGCTACCACTAGTAGAACAGTCTCCAATCTTTCTACTGGAACAATTACTTCAGAGTAGTCGAGTTTTGCTCTATGAAGAAATCCTCGAACTACTAATCTTACTTTATGTCTTGTTATGTATCCATCAGTGTTGTGTTTCAACTCGAACACCCACTTTACTTTGATAGATTTTGTGTATGCTAGAAATTTGAATAACTCTTATGTGTTGTTTCTTTCGACTGCCTGTAACTCTTCGACTATAACATACTTCAACTATTTAGTCTTTAAAGGCTCATTATGGTTGATTGATTCAGCACCTGCAAGTAAAGCAAAATGAAATAATTATTCATCTGGTGTGACTTCATCATCACCAGTTACTTCATATTCTTGAAGTCTTGCTGGAAGAACTCTAGTTCTTTGAGGTCTTTAGCTTGTGCTAGCCACGCCCTCTTCGACTTTGATTGTTTCTGGAACATCATAAACTACTTCGAATGAAATATTTACAATTTCTTCGACTTCGACTTCATCAGTTTCTTCGTTGAAACCATAGCTCATAAATGGCTTGTTAATTACATCATTAGAATTCCAATCCCATGCAGAACTTTCACCAGTCACAATATCTCGACATAACACAATCTTCTCATTGATTGGATTGAATAACCTGTATGCACTAGTTTTATGATATCCTACCAGAATCATAGGCTCACTCTTGTCATCAAGCTTCCTTCTTCTTGCATCAGGAATATGATTGTAACACATAAAGCCAAACACCTTCAGATGACTCACTGATGGTCATTTGTCACTCTACACTTCTTCAAGAACATTGTTTTTCAATTTCTTGGTAAGGTACCTGTTCAGAATATAAATTACAGTCAAAACAACTTCTCCCCATAAGGATTTTGGTAAACTATTCTGCTTCAACATGCATCTCTCCATATCCAATATGGTTTTGTTTCTTCTTTTTGAAATTCCATTATGTTGAGGCGTATAGGGAACATTTATCTCATGATCGACACCATGTTCTGCACAAAAATATTTAAACATCTTAGATGTGTATTCACCACCTCCACCCATTCACAGAACTTTGATCTTCTTCTCACTCTGGTTTTCGACAAGTATCTTGAATCTCTTAAAGATTTCAAGTACTTCGTCCTTTCTTTTGGTGACATAGATCTATAACTTTCGACTAAACTCATCGACAAATAAAACAAAATATTTGTTTCCACCAATGGTATGCTCTTCAAACGGGCCACATACGTCTGAATGCACCACTTCGAGTATGTAGGTTGATCTCATTGGCACATTCGAAACAAAAGAACTTATGGGTTGCTTTTCGACTAAACAACTTTCACAGAGTTTGTCGAGCATCTCAAGACTTGGAATACCAGTAACCATATATTGATTAATCCTTTAATTGAGTGACCAGAAATTCAAATATCCAAACCTCAAATGCCACAACCAACTATCCTTGTTGTCGACAACAGTTTTTAGACATTGTACTTCAGTCGAACTTATCACGGTCTTAAACATCCGATTCTTCGATAGTGGAGATTTTAAGACCAAATTGTTCTGGGTGTTGAACAATTTTAAAGCTCCCTCTTTCATGACAACTGAGAAATCTTTTTTGATCAGTTGTCTAATACTTAGTAGGTTGCACTTTATTCCGAGTACATAGAGTACATCTTTGATCATAGATTTCTCTCCATTACTAATTTGAAAAACTATGTCGCTAGTACCTTCTGCTTGCACTGAACTATTATCAACAAGTTTTACCTTGCTCTTCTTCGACTTGCTGAAGTATGCCAACAACTCCTTTCGACCAATCATGTGATTCAAGCAGTCTGAGTCGAGGAACCAAATCTTGGATTTGACATGGCTATCTATAAATGTAGCCATAACCACCATACCTTTAGAATCATCTGAATCTTGGCATGCAAGGTTTGCTCCTTCGTCCTTGTCTATCAATCCCTTGTCTTTTCTGTATCAAAAAATCTTGGCAAAGTGACTCCACTTTTCACAGTTGTAGAACTACACCCTTTTTTATCTTCTTTAAGCTTTTAATAGTTTCCTTCTCCTCTTTTCGAGGATTCATAAGCCTTATCATCGACCTTATTCTTGTGGGGATTCGACCAATACTTCTTGCTCTGAGTCTTGTCAAACTTACCTTTGAATTTCTTGGAACCCCCATTCCTTTTCCATGACTGAACCTGCAAAGCTTGTATTGAGTCTTGAACTCTTTTCCTTTCGACAATTCTAATCTCATGCGCTTCCAACGAACCAACCAAATCTTATAGTTTTAGGGTTTCAAGTTGATTAGATTATTGAATAGTTACAATAACGTGATTAAAGTGAGAGGTAAATGTATGCATTACCTTCTAAACTATTATCTTATTAGTTAGGGTTTCACCATAACCCTTCATGAGATGGACGCGTTTTGGCACTTTCGACAGATACTCTGTAATCTTTTCGTCTTCTTCCATTGACAACAATTCATATTGTCGATGCAAAGTCTGCAACTTGACAACCTTGACTTTCTCACCTCCTTCATAGTACTTGATAAGAATATCACATGCATCCTTTGCCGATTCAGCATGGGAGATCTTGTCGAAGTTCTCCGCATCAATCAACGTCTGAATGCAATATACAACCTTGCAATCCTTCTTCTTGGCTTTGTTGTGGGTTTTTTTCTATGC